AAACAACTAATATTTTTTTTTAACAAATAGGTACGCGATGAAATGAATAAATTGAACACAGGTCAAAATTAATTTTTCAGCTCCGTTAGTATAATATTATGAACGCATAATCATTTGTGGACTAGGTGGGTATAGAGTACATGATTTTATTAGATAAACATTAAGCTCTATAATTGCAGCTTTAATAAATAGCAAATTCTATACGTGTCCTATAATATATATAATATTATTTATCAAATATGGATTAGGTACAAAAAAAAAAAATTATTCATAGTTGTCATTTATTCATTATCAATTGATAATAGATTATATTACAATATTATGGGTAATTTATTTCCAAGTGTATTCGTTAAAAATAATAACGTCAAATTTATTGAAACGACTTAACCATCCACAAGTATTTATTTTTAAATCCTCAAGAATATTTTGTCAGTTAACTTAATATTAAAATTAAATTACTTTTATATAATATCTTATTCTTGCTTTTGGATAATCAAATCTCAAGTAAAACTATGTTAGTCAGGAGATATTCACAAAATATGTCTTATTAAAACTAGTATACTTTATATTTTGATCAGACATTGGCATTAACTCATTATTATAAATTTATAAAGTACGCCTGCAGTACGCGCGTCGTAAATTATAAATAATAATAATAATAATAATATATTACTATCTCCACTGCATTCACGCTGTTCATACAACGGAACCAGCGTGCGCATGTCGTGTCATCATTATCATTATTGGTCTTGGAAAAATACGAAAAAAAATATGTTTTAAGATTAAAACACAGATATCGTTTTGTGCATCACATATTTAAGGTTATTTAATTAAAATGACATTTTCATAAAAAAGTAATCAAATACAAATATAACAATACATAAAAGTATATTTTAACGATTTAAACTCATAATTTTTCATTTTACTTCATATTTTATAGGTAGGTATAATATTAAATATTTTAAATATCTTACGACCTTAATCACAAATGTGAAACGTTTATCATAATCTTATGTTTTGCCACATAAGGATATAATAAAAGTATTCGTTATAAATTATAATAGGTAGTATACTTACACGGATCAATTGTTAATAACCTAAGGATAAACACTGTGAACACTGAACACATAGTTTGCGTGCGCCGCTGTATAGGAATTTGGCACCCTGTGGCAGTACAAATACTAATCACCCACCCATCTCTTCAAAACAATAAAAAAAATAATAATAAAAGGAACCGATGAGTTTAAATTCGAATTTTATTACGATGATAAAAATACAATATTATATTATATCCTAACCTATCTTATAATATTTATATACCGTCTCCACCCATTAAGCAGTACCGCCTGAGGCATGTGCACTATAAAATCAGAGTAGGTACTCATCTAACCATGCGCAGGACGCAGAATCCTGTTCGGATTCGTATCGGATACCTCTACCTGTATTTTATAAAACAATATATTATAATAATAATGCCAAATAACTCATATGAGATTTACTAATAAGACATGCATGCCTATTATACGTACTCAAAAATGGATACGAATAACATTAATTGTAATACGTAAGAGGTACGAGTAACATTTATAATACGTACGAGGGGTGGTGAAGTGAGCATTATTATAAAATGATTCTCGTTTTTTATACATAATATATATTTATTAAATTATAAACTCGCATGTGAAACGAAACACGTCGTCAATGGTGGATGCCGACGCACATCTTGCGGCGTGAGATCATGATAAAAAAAAAACCTATCAAAAGCGTCGAACGTTTAAATGAAATCATTTTATTCAACTCGCGTGAGCACATTGATCCACGAGGTTTACACCGGTTTTCACTCGACAGTTTTTTCAAGTCAAGACTAATAATTGTGGCAGTGAGCCCCTTGACGATATAGAATTTTTTTTAAACAACACTGCTGAAATAATTATATTACAAGCTGAATGCATGTATTGAATAAAGAGTTGGCTGAAGTTAAGAGTTAGACAGACTCGTACATTTCTTATGTTAAGGATTCCGTATATTAATTACTTAAGAATTATAGCACAATATGATTTTGACAGTTTAAAATTGTACTGAAACAATAATGAACTAGGTATAAAATATACTGTATCGTGAATACGAACTAACAAAAAAATGAAATAATTAATATCTATAAGACTATAAACATAGGTACTTAGAACTGAAATTATGTCTGACCAATGGCCAGAGCTGCCACTGTCTTTATGTTTAATAATAAAAAAAAAAATTATGTCTATCTGCTATCACACAATAAATATCAAAAAATATAAATTATTATTTTATTATTTATAAAAATATAGATACCTACTATTTACCTACTAAACACATTACATATACCTTAAAAATTACAAAAAAAATCTATTGTATTGAAATATACTGTAATGAAAAATGTAATTTGAATAACTGCTCTAAGAAAACATTAGCAATAATGTGTGATAAATGAAATAAATCCAAGTAATCGAAAAAGTAAAAAATGCAACTCCTATAAAAACTCATTATTCATTAATAATAGATGGAACTTGAATGGTTTTTTCGTATCTATATTTTATACATATTAAACAACAACTAAATACTAAAGCAATTATAAAATGTTGTAGTTTCGAGACACTAAAATTACAGTAGGTAATTACCAGTAATAAAAATTCAAGCTGTGAATCGAATACGTCGCATCCACAGGCGCACATAGGGGAGTGCTTGGGGGTGCTTAGCACCCCCAAGCTTCAAACTAGCACCATCAGTTTATTTCAGTATTTCACCAATCATTTATAAGCTATCGTGGTTTATTGGTTCGGAATTTTTCTTTTCATTACAAATATTGACAACTGTTTACGAATTCAGGAATTCATATTTTTTTTTTTTTTTTGTCTGTCATCATCTTTTAGGACAGTAAAAGTGCTTGGATTTTCTTCAACAGTATCTTTTCTGATAGGAAAGTGAATCTAGTTGGTACTTTGCGGGGGTCAAAAGCAAAAATTTCACAGTAGTTTTCAAAAGCGCCGTGAAAAACAAAAGAAAAATTAAGGAAAAACGGAAATTTTTACGCAAAATCTGTTTTCGAGAAAATTGATTTTGGTTTTTAGTGTAACTTTAAAACAAATGACCGTAGATATATGAAATTTTCACTGGTTATTTATATTTCCATTTTCTATACATGATAAAATTTTCTAAATATTTTGAGTTATTTTGAGCTATTTACGGACATTTTTAGTTTCCATTTTTTTTTAGTTTTTTTTTCTATAAGTATCAATAAAATTTTATTTGTTGGGTATAAAAGCTTAAACATTTAATAGAAGGCTCCTAATATATTGTTTCAAAGACAGATGAAAAATATTAAAAATCCTTAATCACAGTTTTTTGTTATAAGCATTTAAATTCCAAATATTGATAAAATACGTGAAAATGACGAAAATTTGCAAAGTATTTCGTGTTAGAAATTCATAAAAAATTTTCTTTTTAAATCTAAGATATGAAAATGTAATGCAAGATTCCTCATAAGTTTGTCTTTCTTTATCAAAAAAAAAATGTCTACAAGAATCTCAAATTAAATTTTTATGAACGTTTGAAATTCATATTTTTACAACATTTGATATTCACTCGATTTTTCATGTAACGATTTTCTAATTTTGTTGTAATTAAAAAACGAATGACTGTAGATACTTGAAAATTTTACTAAATTTTTATATTAGCATTTCCTATACACCATATAGTTTTCAAAATATTTTGATTCTTTTTGAGCTATTTACGGACATTTTCAGTTTTCAATTTTTTTAATTTTTTTTTCTCTTCATATCAATAAAATTGTATTTTTATGGTAAAAAAGCTTGAAAATTTAATGCAAAGCTCCTGATATATTGTTTCAATAACACTTGAAAAATATTAAAAATACATAGGCACAATTTTTTTTTTATAATTATTTAAAATTCAAATTTTGACAAAATTTATCATTTTTAAAATTTAATAATAATTTTATAGTTTGAAAATTTATAAAATGTTCAACTTTTATAGCTAATGATTGAAAATTTAAAACAAGATTCTACGTAAATAGGTTATATATAAATTGCTTTATTCACCTTAGTATCATCAAATATACTTAGTAATATCATAGGCTGACTAACCGTCTTCGCTCAGAATCGTTGTTCTTATACAATGATGTTAGTATATCATTGAATTCAAATTTAATACCATCGATTATACAGTGACCTACTTGTACCCTACTGGGCCTACTGTACAGCAGAGCACCTTTTTTTGTTAATCAAACTTAAATAACTTTTATTTTCGTTTTGATATCGGAAATATAAAAACAAAGTTACAGAGTAAGTTTTCTAATTTTTATAGTGTGAACATTTAGTTTCTTAGCTTAGAGTAGAGACTGAATGTTTTTTATACCCGTGCAAAACAGTTTTGCCTATGTTGTACTACGTCTGTAATACGGAGACAACACATGTGGGGTGTACCTAGCGTCTTCTTTACAATCATACAGATTATTTGATACATTGCACTTTAGAAATTATTGTATACACTATACAAATTAAATATAATGCAATGCAGAAATATTAGGATTAGGGGGGTGTGGGGGGCAAAGCCCCCCACGGATTTGTGAACCATAAATTATCCCAGCACCCCTTAAATTCACACCCTATGTGCGCCTATGGTCGCATCACTTGCATAGATCATAATGTAAAAAAAATCCACAAATCAAGGAGCACAATATTATATTTTTTGCATAATAACTTTACTATAAGAAGTCACGCATTATATATAGGTATTATTATAATATTATATTTATAATAATAAATAAATAAATAAATAAATAAATAATGCATACATATCTATTATTTTATATAATGAAGCGTATAAATAGTTCATGAAGCTTATTAACTAAAAAATTAATAATAATATGATAGGTTAGTGAAAAATGACACCAATCTATTTTCAACCATATATGTATCAAAAATTCAAAAATATTCAATTGTTACCTGAGCATAGAGTAACTCCAACTAATAAGGATGCGATCCATGCAGTTGCCCCTTTACTTTCTTTGAAAACATCTAAGAATTCTGTGTATAGAACACCAAACGAATAAGTCACTCCATCAGCTAAAAAAAAAAGCATGTATAACATCAATTAATAATTAATATTATTATTTAGGTATGTACTGGTATATTGTTTGAAACTGTACATATTATCACAATATCACACTAAACAGCATAATGACTTCTAATAGTATATTGTATGGCAGGGCGGGAAGTGAGCTATTCAGGCGAGGGCCGCATTTCGTTCAAGACGGCAAGACTGACATTGCCTTCCCGCACGAGCCACACATACTATTTTTTGTCAAGCCTCTGCATTCATTGATCACGGCCAACGTAATGCAGGGATCTATGCAATAACTAGACCATAATTCTACGACAACAATATTTTATGAAAGAAACGATTTGGTTTTATTTATTTTAAGCGTCACGCATGAAGGTTATAATATGAATATAAGATGTAACCAAAATGTTGTTTTGTAAGGTCTTTGGTATAGATTTCAGTGTTTGGTTGTGCAGAGGATACGTGTGTGATATGTAGCCCAGCACTTTTTGGGATTTCCACTTTACTGCACGGCACTTCTTGGGAATTCCACTTTACCACCCGGCACTATTAGGGATTCCCACTTTACCGCCCACTGGACGGAAAAAGGACGCTTTCCAACGCTTCAACCGCTATCGAAAACCAAACTTTCGGTGCAGGCGTGATAAAAATGTCATTGTAAAAAGGTACTGAATAACAAAAAAAAAAATATCAGATACCTAGATACGAAACAGTTTTTTTTTAATAAAAATTATTTTTAAGTTGTTTTATAAAAATATAGTACCATTAAATAAAGTAATTGATATCCATATGTATATTCGTATATATAATTTATCTACTTAATAGACAATAGTTCTAATTGTGATTCTCGTCATACAAATATACCTAATTATAGTTATTTACAAAACTTTACAATAAGTTATTATAATTTATAACGTTATATTTGACAAAAAACGATTGACATTTGTAAATAAAACGGAAAGCCAAAATCAAAAATAATTAAGTACTGCAAAACAAAACATAACACAAAAAGTAATTTAAAGAATATCATTAAACGAAAAATATCCAAAACGTAATTTGTAGAATTTCTTTGAACGAAAATTAACGCTAAACGAAATAATTTAAAATCCATTTATTTAAAAGTTATATTGGTTTCGTAGAAATATTTATTTCATGCATACGGGCATTAAAATTGATTATATCATATTCCGTATCCGGGCAATGGGTAATGAACCACCCGCATTAGTTATTACTTATTATTAATACATTTAATAGGTGTTAACGCTATTCTAAATAACAATAAACGTAAAACTTGTATAACGGTTTAATTGTAAATAACAAAAAACAGAATTTTTTTCAAATGAGAGTCTTGGTTATAAACTTATAGGTAACTCATTATTTATTATTATTACTTATTAACAGGGTTAGGACCTTAAGAATTAAAGCATTAGCATATTATTTTGGCTTAACATAAAATATACAATAACTTAAGTCATGTTACTAGAATCTCAAGTATGAGGTTTAAAAATGTTTAATTTAGGTAACTTATTTTTAAAAGTTTTTGAATGTTTTTTTCTACTTTTTTATATGTCTTGAAAAAATATATGATTAGTTACCTATTTTATAATATAATAAGAAAAACATGGCAGTTTTTAGAGGTCCCTATATTTTAATTTTTTTAAGTTCAAGGGGGTTACCATTTATTTGAATTTTTAAGTATTTTATTTTTGATGTTGATTTAATGTGATTTAAGTGTAAAACCATGTGTATTGATTATTACTTATTAGTTATTAACATACAGTAACATTAATATTTTTGAAATATATTAAATTAATAATTATGTACTTTTAGATTTTGAGTAGAGCAGAACAAATATGGATTTTACAACCTTTTTGGAAATAGTAAAAATGTCATGTAACATATTATTATAATATTATGAATTTAGATATACCATGCAATATGTAGGAGCCAGAACAGAAAAACTTTTGTACTTTTTTGTTTCAACTAGACAGTTACTTTGAATAGGAATATTAATAATGTATTATTAATAGAATAATTATTAATAACAGTGAACCAATTTGTACGATTAAAGAAATCATAAATTGGACAAAATCAAAAAATAATTGGTACTTCAAAATATTTATTTTAAATATATTATTATTAAAACGAAATAATATAACCTTTAATAGCAAAAATTAGATGTTCACACATTTAATAAGTAATAGGTAATAGGTATTCAATATTCATGTATCACATTGTTAATGAACACCTAGACATTTATTAAAGAGGTATTAATTAGACTAGTTTCCTAATAGACATTAATATAATAAGAATTAATATTAATGTTGATTTCCAATTGTTTTCAACAACTTTCCTGTATCAGAAAGAAAACTGTAATTATAGTCTAAGTACCACTTAAGATTAAATATTTAAACTTTAATGTTGATTTGATTTATTAGCAATCTGAAAAGTATTCTTTAAAAAAAAAAAATTAACTATTCATTTTTTAGTTTACACAATCAAATAGATACTGCTATACTGCCAAGTACCTACTTTATTTTACATAGAATCTGTAATAAATACATTTCATACATTTCTTAAAATGTTACTTATATCAAGCTTATATCTATTGCCTACCTTGAATTTTTGGTTTGGAAAATCGTGAAGTAAACATTTACTACAATACTACAATCTAAATAAGTAAAGATATGATGTATTACACTATAATTTATGTCATTAATGGGTTACCTAATAATTTATGATATAGGGATATCTCATTGAATATTTATTTTAATAACTATCATTCTTAGTTAAATAAATTATTTCAAGTGGAGTATAATTAATACAAATTTTAAATCAATTCCAAAGTAAATCAAATTAACATGATAAAATTAATATAGATAATGAGCATACTTTTAATTTTTTTATTATGCTATTTTTACCAATCAAAATGATAATTATAATTATTTATACTATCAACAATAACCTAGTGTATAAAATAATAGCTATAATAGTTAGTTTGTAAGAATTAACTTAAAAAAATATAAAATTTTATAAACCGTTAATTTAAAATAAACCTATAAGAAATAACAAAAAAAGAATTATATTATTATGCAAATCTATTCAAGGTTAATCAAAAATCATTAAGTTTCAGTTGCCTATTGGTTAGTACAGAATAACAGAAATAATGATGACATTAAATGTGTTACATAGTAAATACATTGTATACATAGTAAATTTTAAACCTTAAAGTAGTAGTAAGTACTGCCTAGCAGGGATGTATGATAATTTTGAAAATTAATAAGACACAATTTGCTACTCTCCACAGCTTCATGGCTACTGAAACGGCATCTATGAGTGTATTCCATCCGTAAGGATACGGTTTCCTAGGCGCGGGTAGTCGCGACGGCTAGTCACAGCAACCGGCCACAACGACTGTTCTGTTATGGAACACCATTATAGATGCTGCGGCAGGCGGCTATACTCGTCCGTGAGGAGTATGGTGAGGCCGGTTGCTGCGGCCAGCCATCACGACTAGCCGAGCCTAGGAAACCGTACCTTTACAAAAGCATTAGAACACACTTCTTTGCTAGACTAATTTCAAAAAGTCTTTCCTTCTTGCCAGACATTTTAGTATAAAATAGTAGTTAAATAATACCATTATTTTCGTTGTCTAATGATGATTAAGAAAAAAAGTAGTGTATTCAATATAACTAATGAGTTTTTGAACTGTCATAAGCCTTTCATTTGGGTAATTGATAAGAACTATAAATTCCATTAATAAAATACATATATTCAAAGTAAACCTTACAAATTAAGTTTTATATAAGTTGGGCCTTTAAAATTATCTGAACTTAACACATAAACGGTTGCTTTGTATGTATACTTAGTAATTAGTATGTTATAAATTATAACAAAGACCAACAATTGAAGTTTAAAAAAGTTATCACTAGTTTGGATTTTTATGAAAAAAATACTGCAAAATGTGATCATATTTTCTGCATATTAATTATACACCAAGCATTTCATATATATGCAAAGTATATTGATCATAAACATATAGTATGCATAAAAATACTTGGAAAATGGTATAAAGTTTTTAAAGATGTACACATTTTAAGGCATTTTTACTAATTTATTATGAAATTGTTAAAATTACATTCATAGAAAATTATAGATTTGTAGTATTGTATACAATATTCAGAAAATTAAAAATTGATCTGGCCAATTCGCCTACTTTATACTTTTTGTGTAATTGTTTACTAAATAATTAGTGAATAAAAAGTTTTACAATTAATCTTTATTGATGCGCGTGACATCATACACATAGTTGAGCGCCACCCGAGGTAATTTTTTCCATTCAAGTATCTAGTAATAATAATTGTATTAAAATATTATTTATAAAAAAGTGTTTATTATTATACAACATTTCTTTTTACTCTAATTGAAGTAGGTATATTAGTTGTTGGATTCAAATAATTGAATGTTTTTATTTGTGTGGGTTAAACAAATTCTAAATTTTAAATTTATATTTTTGTATTTTTTTGATTGTACAATAATTACTAAGATAGTATTATACAATGGAGTAATGAGTATGGAAAATTCACAAAATAATTTATAGCATGTTAAAAATAGACTGGGATAAATAGTAACACTCTTGTCACCAAAGGTTAACATTTTATTTTTATAAGATAATAGCCATAAAGTACATAATATGTGTAAACATTTAATGGGTAACCTACTAACCTATCAAATAAAGACCTTAGTATTTATCATATTTTATAAATTGGAATAATGTAGGAACATGGAAAACTAAAAAACTAGAATACCTATTGTTATTTATAAATTATTAACTTACAAATTACAATATTTCATAGGTAGTTACCATATTTTTAAGCACATTTGATTTTAAGTTAAAAACTCTTTTCCAACTTTAAATATTTAAAAATATCTGATAAATTATGAATCATAATCTTAATAAATATTAAATTATAAATTAAACTACAATTAAAGCAAAACAAAATAATTGTTAAATTTATAAGATAGAAATTATTTTATGACTATTTAGGTGATTTAAATAATTGCTGCTTGCATAACATCCATGCATCAATTAACTTATAACTAAACTCATGTAAATAAATATTAATTAGTTTAATTCATATACCTAATATTAATCAATCATTACTTGTCATTACTTTGTTAGTTATTCATACTTATTATTCATATATACAAACATATTATATACATACACATTTACAGATTCTTTTTTAAAGTTAGTTTCTTATCTATTCTTCATAACTGTCAAGACATTTGTGATTAGAATTTAATGATACCCGACCTATGAGGTCTAATATTATCGTACTTAAATTTAATCTCGGAAACTGTCATTACACAATAACCAAGCATTTCTATTTAATAAATCTAATAAATACATTTTGAAATAAATCAGAACGTATTCAAAGACAAATATTATCATATTTATATTTATTAATAATTATTATTTTAACTCGTAAAATGTTAATTGTGTGATAAAAATTGACCTACAGTGTACTTGTTAGTGGAAATTGGCAAGATAAATCCAAACTATTAGATATAAGATTTAAATAATTCTAAAACAATAGAATATTATAACAAAAATTAACATAGATAGATGGTAAATTCTGCATTGTCTTGTGTTAATTTTTTTAATAAATAAATTATAAAAAAATTATAAGTAAAGTTCAAAAAAAAGACACCAGGTACCTAACACACTGTACAAGCCAAACTATCGCAGTTATCATCATAAATATTACAATGTAAGGCGGTGTACACTGAAATCACATAAGAATTGTTTGTTACATGAATAGTTTGAACTATGACAATCATTTTGTATGGCAAGTGTAAATAGAAATTTCTATTCTCAATAATTTTCAAAAACACATGTTTAAGCAGAACAGTTTTAACAAAATGTTTTTTTATATTCCATAAGCTCACTATGGTTTTTATGTAAATATATAATACATATCAATATATTATGCTAATTTCACATATTTTACTTAAATTAAGACATACCTAGTTAATATGACGGATTTATAAATTTTCAAGTTATTTATTTATTTTCAAAAACATATTATATTTAGTTAGGAGTGTAGGACACACGTGTTGTGTGAACCTACTATTTTCAAACTAAATTTACTTTTGAATTGATCTAATAGTAATCTAACTATTCATAGATATTATGCTCAGATTATTATTAACATTCAACACATTTTTCCTAATATATAATAAATCTTGAATAATATCAAAATTGATTTATTTCAAAAAAAAAATAATTATATAACTAAGTAATAGGTTTATTAAAAAAGGATTTATCAATATTTAAAAGACTAAAAACGTCTGTAAAAACATTTAAATAAATACTTAGTTTATAGTATGTACTATTTACATAATTATTTATATAAATTATATTTAACTATAACCACAAATACACAAACGAATATATTAATACATAGGAAAGTACTTAAATTTCTGATATTCTTAAATATTTAAAATCATTTATACCTGATGGCTCATCAAATAACAGTAAAATAAATAGATACCTAACAAGCAAACTTAAGAATTGGAAACAGACCAAATAGATAAACACACAATTCATAACGGTTTTCATCAATAACATTCATATTTAAAAATTAAGCGAAGTGACACAATATTTTAAATTGTAATAAAAACTATGATTCCCTTCTTCATACATTTTTTTATGTAACTTGATAGTTAAGTACAGATTCAAATTTACATACAGACAACATTAAAAAAAAAATGTAGAGTTCCTAATAGTTGTAAGTTTCTAACATGTTTTTAAATTCTCAACACTGTCAAACTAAGGGAGGCTAATCGCTATAATAATACCGATTGTATTTTGTTATTGTTCGATGTGTATGATGAGAATATAACAAGCTAGTGATTTTAAATCATTAAAAACAAACAGTAGGTATTTTAGTCAGTCCAGAGGCCGATGATTTTACTCCAACAGGATTAAGCAAAAATATACATCATGTACACATTAAAACGAATGTAGGATATTATTATAATAATAAATTTAAAAAAAAAAATGTGATCAGGCGTAGTGGCTTTGGGCCAAAAGGCATCGCGAGTATAAAATTAATGAGAATTGGGAGAGTCTAAAATAGAATATAAAACGTAAACATATTATAATATAATCGCGTGTTGATATTTTTTACGCATTTATTTCTGTTGGTAAAACGATCTATTATTATTATTCGTTAAGAGTGTAAAATTATTTGTGATATTCTTAAGAATCACTCACTGACTACGTGTATCATGAACGATCCGAACACGACAAACCATCCCCAACCACCGTCCGGGGGCCGTTTGCTGATAACCGGCACCGACGGCGTCTTCTTCTCCGGCGGGTTCTTAGACCGCATTTTGTTGGCCATGGTCTCGATGGAGCGTATTTTTTTCTTCTCAATAAAATCGACGACGCGCCGTTAACGAAATCGTGTCGTCAGGCGTGAATGGTAGTGATACGGTGGCTCGTACGTATCATTTACTCGAGGGCACGAAAGGTACAACTTAGGGCCGTCACCATTTGAAATGTTTTCAATAATCGAGTAAGACCTTTCCACGTGGGAAAAATAAAAATAAAATAATTCATTAGGTTAGGCTAGACATAATAGGTATTAATATATTATAATCGTGATCGTTATTGTTAAAATTTTTTTTCAAATGAAAAAAAATCCCCGAAACCGTTTACCGGTATGTTATATTTTGGGGGGAAAAAAATTATTAAAAAAAGTAAATACTTCGTATGGGGCGGCAGAGGAGACAGCAACAGCAGCAACGACGACGGCAGCAACGAGGAGACGTCTCAACCGGAACAGACCACGAGCCGGCCGATCAAACGCAAGACTGATCGAAGGAACGGATCGGGTTTGAACTAATATTACGAAAACGCATCGGCAGCCCTACCATCATTATTGTTCTACTACTACTACTGCTGCCACTGCTGCTGCTGCTGCTGCATTCGTTATCGCGGACAATCGACGACCATGTGACCGGACCGATGATTTCGACGTTGCTGCTGCGCAACGCCCTGCCGATGTGAAACGGTCCGCACCGTATTATTATTATTATTATTATTATTACGAGCGCGTCGCGACCGTGGATCGATCGTTGACGAAATTCTCGTGCTGATTACGTCTCTCACTCTATCCCTTCTACGGGGACGTTCAACTCATAGGCGTTTAAGTGCGTTGCGAGTTCCGACATTGCTCTTGCCATTCATAGGTTTTCGTCCGAAACGTGCGTTTATTATTTTTCTTCACATGTTTGATTTGCTGACCTGAGACGGCGAACTTAAACACATTTTCCGCTTTTGGATATCATACGAACAAGAATAATAACTAGTCTAGAACGATTATCCGAGTAAAGTTTTCGAAATGTTGGGTCGCGCTGGTAAATAGTAAACTTATTGTTATATCTACCGAACATAATTTCAAACACTATAATATAATATTCACTGGACATTAAATAAACACCTGTTATACACTTATACCGCATAGTACAGGATACCGTACCGGTGTACATCGAATGTCGTACACGGAGAGAAAATTAGTGATAACTCCACGTCGTACTATCGATGGTAGGTACCTAACTCTGATAGGCGATAGTACTTTTTTATTCTTTCTATCGATTATAAAGTTACAATATTATTATTATTAATATTTATTGTAAATAAAAACTAATCAATTTTAAATCAGGTTGGTAGTATAAGTAGGTACATTTAAACATTTTACCTTTTAATAATACTTCATTTGAAAGTCGTATAATTTAACAGTTATACAACAATAATATAATTATTGTTCCGAGTACAATAAACTCAAATATATAGATATTTCAGAATGGAAAAAACAAAATAGTTTGTTTACTTATTGCCGGTAAAATTTTTTCCTCCGTCAAAATACTGAAAACTTAAATCTTAATACAAGGTTCTTCATAAGTTCACAATAATTTTTTTATAGCATCTGAAATTAGATTCACGAAAATTTTAAATACTTTGAGTTAAAAATGTATAAAAATGTTTAAACATACTTTTAAGACTTTAAAACGGAGTACTTTTATATTAATTAACATTGAATATACCATAACACATAACACGTATATAATTAAGTTATTACTTATTATATCTAGTCTAGCTATATTATTTCAAATACCATTTTAATCAAAAGTTCAAATCAATTAAACACGACGTCGTACTTTCATTTTATCACAATGCTGCAGCTTTTATAAGAAAATTATAATTATGTTTTTTAGTATTTTTCAACTGTTGTTGTAACGTTATATCAAGAACCTTGTATTACATTTTTTACGCTTTTTGACCCAAAAATACAATTTTATTGACATTTATAGAAAAAAAACTGAAAATGTCCGTAAACAGCTCAAGACATGTCAAAATATACCTACTTGAAACTTTTACGTCTATAAACTATATTACTTTATGTAGGAACTTTATACATATTATTACCTAAGTAGGTATATACATAAATACATTTTCAAAATATTTAGTTTAATTTTAAGATACTGCCTATTTATACCACGATCCTATAATTAATACTGTCCTACGGTAAAGCAGTATTGACTCAAAAGTTAATAACAAAAATAAATGATATATATATATATATATTATACTATTATAATAATTAATTATTAATAATAAAATAAAAGCAATGTTTGCAAAAATTAAATCAACCTGCCGTTATACTACATATTACTTTATTATTTTATTACTTTAATGGAAATATCACAAAACATATGAAGAAATATACTTAGTAATATACTCTTTTTACACACAATGACATTTTCAAATGTAATTTTTTCAGCAATAATTAATTTAACCTTCTAATACCTAGGTAATAGAAAAACAAATTACTTTAATCACAATAATATCATCAAATATACTTAGTAATATTATGGTCTTCGCTCCGAATCATTTTTCGAATACATTTATTTTATATGATTGAATTCAAGTTATTAGCTTATCCATTAGAGACTCTAAACACCTAATGTACAGTAGAGCGTTACTCACCTGTCAGATTTTTATTATTATTATCAGTACTCCAACGACATCATCAGATTATGCCACTATACTTAAGAATAATATATGTATTATTATAGTTATTACTTATTAATATGATTATCTGGTTGGCTAATAAATTATTATTATTCAATTTGAATTCGATGATAAATCATTGCATACCAAAAACTATTCTGATCGGAATAGATGTGTCACTGTGTGAGCCTCTATTTCTAAGGAATATTTTCTAATTTATTTCTATGACTATCAGGGATACTTAGCTTAGAACTAATATAAGTATTTTTTAAATCTCATTGTGTAAAGAAAATGAAAATTTAAACAATAGTGGAATGAATCAAGTTTCTAATTTCGTAGTAGGCACAAAAAAATAACTAAAATCGTTAATATCAAATCAAAATTTAAATTTGAAGCACCTATTGTTTAATGCTTATGTATTTTTTTTATATTTTCAAATTTATATTTTAACACAAAATATGAGTTATTCGGAATCTTATGTATAATTACTAATTACTAAATATTTTAAGCTTTTTGATCGAACAAAATTGCATAAATACATAAATAATGACACAAATCATTCAATCATTGTAAAAGCAATAGGTAGATTCAGCATTTCAGCGAGGCACTCAGAATCTAAAATATTTTTTTGTAACATAATATGATTTTCCGTTGGTTGTTTTATTTTTATTACCTTTGTTTAACCTTGCATCATTTAAAGTTCAAAACACTGGAATAAAAACTAAAAAATATACCTATATAATCGTTATTCGTTTCCTTTTTCGATAATAATTACGTAGTAATTTAAATTTTAGTGTAAGCTTATAATCAAATCTTATAAATGCCTTTATTTGTTTGCTAAGGTCAAAAAATACATAAATCAATAGCCCAGTCTATTGAATATAAGACAAAATAAACTGGAAAAAAAATTTCATAACTTTTCAGTAGGTAGTATCATTAGTCTTGTATTAACTATTAAATATTATTGTATTAAATATTTATTGGTAAATTAATTAACAACAATATAATATAATATAGTACTAGTGGTCTTTTTTACTTATTCTCGCTAAGATTAAAGTATTGAAACTAATAAGAGGAACATAAAAAAAATACAATTCAGACTGTATATAAAAAAAAAATGAATTACCGATATAAGACTAAAATAATAATTCCAATAATGTAACTCTACAGTTAATATAAAATCATTGTTACGTCCAATAATCATAATATAGATGCCAACGAAAAAACATAGTTCAAATAGAATAAAGAGTATAAGTACCGCCGTGAGTAATATACGTTTTTTTTATGTATTATACATGCGTGATAAAATAATACAATTTTAAATAAAATGTTTATATAGTATCAAATCCAGCAGTCTTTTTTCTTTTTGCGAAACAATCTATCGCATCATCTGGATTGATTTAAATTTTTCTCTGTACTGTGTTCACTCAAATGAGCTAGTAAGACCTGTAAGGCATACGTAAGCTATTCAATATAGTCTGATGAGTTTCGTAAATATTTTTTTTTCTTTTACTTAGTAGAAAATGTGCATTCTGCTGCTGTTGAAGTAAAAACTGATAATGTAGATAATAATTTAAAAATACAATTTTATTTGGAAAAATATTAATAATTATATTTATTATATTTATTATATGCTTCGATAGCTGAATTCAGGTAAAAAGTAAAACGGCAATAAGGGTTTAATCTTCAATATCTATCGTCATCCGTCGATAAAATATCGTTTGTGACATATTTACTACCATATCAAAATAAATGCCAATAAAATTCGTATTACCACAATTATTAATGGTATTATAATGTATAACAATACAAACATATTAATATAGAGTTATCATATTATTAGGGAAACATGGTAAATTATTATAATTAATTTAGTTTCATAAATTAAATTCTTAACTAAATAAGAAAAGTTTTGGCGGTGGGGGTGAACTCCCAAACCCTCCTCAAATACGGCCTGGAATACAATTACATTTTACTAATATATTTTGTTAATTCGATATAACTAATTGGTACTTAAACTTATGCCCGTTGTCACTTGATCTGTGATCGCATTAGCTTCACATTAAAAGGTGTGTCAGCAGTGCTGGATCTGTCAGCCAAATAAATCATCGTGAGCCTGCTTGAGATTGTACATATTTTATATATTATTATGGTTAACGATTTGGTTTAAAGACACTGTACGCCCCGAACTACACTTTTAGGGAATTCCCGCCACTACGGTTATTGAAAATAATTTATTACTAGTAAGCAATACTAGTATAGCTAAATCTTAATATAATTTATGTCACTCCCATACTTTGGTTACTTGTCTCTGATCATATATCGGTA